TTGAAATAATTTTTAAAACTCTTCAGACCTATATTTAAAATCATTTTGATATTAACACAGTCCTGAATCATTGTTTTGTTTAAGAATTGTGGTATCAGAAAGCAAAAGTTTCTCAATTAAGACTTTGTATTATATTCTCCAATTTAAATGAAAAATGTGCTTATAGTTCTGTCATACTTTGTAATCACAGTACATTACTTCCTATCAGACAGCTTAAATAGTCAGTGATTTCATCAGCAGAGACAGAAAGGCACCAAGAAGTATATATGCTGGACCCAAACAGACATTTCACTTTAAAATAATGTCTTCTTTGCTCACTTAACGACATATGTAGACTGACTTCTCCCAATAAAAAAGAGAGCATTTTAGGGGGCTGGGTAGATGGCTCAGTGGTAGAGTGCTTGCCTTGCATGCATGAGACCCTGGGTTCAATTCCTCAGCACCACATAAGCAAAAGAAGCCAGAAGTGGCACTGTGGCTCAAGTGGTAGAGCACTATCCTTGAGTTGAAGAGCTGAGGAACAGCGCCCAGGCCCAGAGTTCAGGCCCCAAAACCGACCAAAAAAAAAAAGAGCATTTACTTGTGTGACAGGTCCACAAAGGCCCTTGAAGATATGTAGCTAGATGAATATAGATACTTATATCTATACTTATCTATATAGATCGATATGGGTTATATATCTATAATATATCCAATATGATTGAATACATTGAATAATATGTTCAATATAACTACATATATATTCCACTAATTATACATATATATATATATATAATTATATATACCCAAATTATAAGGCAGGATTTCTTGTGATCCTTGAGCCACGATTGTTCATTATTCCCAAGTCCCCTCTTTTATTTCTCAGGTCAGTCTCTTCTACTGGGGTTAGAATGTGGGATGGCTGTAGCTATGTCTCTTTTGCTTATTGTGTTTAATGATATATACATATATATCCCCTATTTTATATATGTAAATTAAATTACATTATATTGAATATATTAATATGTATTATATTGGATAGTTATTCAACATATTTGATTATATAATATTGGGTATATTATCCAATATATTCAGTTAGAGGACTTGAGTTCAGGAGAAGGTTGCAAGGAGACACATCATTACCTTCCCTGCCAAGAGAGAGAACCCAGAGAAACACCCATCCCATATGTCTCCTTACAACACTTTCTTTCTTGGTGGAACTTGAGTGGAGACATGAGGAAACGTCCCAGAAGTGTATACTCGTCAAACTGTGAACTGTGGTTGCTGTTGGAGTGACAGAAGGAGAAAAGTACATCTGTTTCTTTTGTGCTTAAAATGCCATTTGTAATTAAGAGTAAATTATTGACTAGGTGCCAGTGGCTCACATGGTATTCCTAGTTCCTTGGGAAGCAGAAGTGAGGAGGATTGTGATTTGAGACCAGCTTGGGCAAAAAATTCATAAGATCCTATCTCAACCAATAGTTGGCACATGCTTGTCATCCCAGCAGTGTGGGAAACTGAGATCAGAAAGATCGTGGTTCTAGGCCAGCCTGTAAAAAAAAAATCTGCGAGACCCTGTCTTAACAGGAAAAGCTAGGCATGAGTTCATGCACCTGGCATGCCAGCTACAACAGGAACTAGAAGGAGCATTATGGTTCAGGCTGGCCTGGGCAAAAAGTGAGACCTCATTTTAGAAATAACCAGAGCAAAAATGGACTGGAGGCATGGCTTAAACTCTAGATTTCCCGCCTGGCATGCTGAGTTTAAACACTAGTACTATCAACAAATAAATACTATAGTGACAATACTGCTTTGCTTTTAATTTTCTCAACTTATTTAGCTTGTATATTTAACAGTAGTTAAAATATTTTTATAAGATACTTTAGTATACTAAAAATATTTTAAAATCCTACATATTAATATGGATTTTTTCCCTGACTTTCCTGGTCCTGATCTTTCAATTTAAGAATATGAAAACTTCCATTCTCCATGTTTAGCAAATGTGGTCAAGAAAAGGCTTGACCTGTTTATTGCTCTGGGTTCCAGTCTTCACTTCCTTTTTTTTTGGTTTTGGTCGTGGGGCCTGAACTCTGGGCCTGGGTGCTGTCCCTCAGCTCTTCAGCTCAAGGCTAGCACTCTACCACTTGAGCCACAAGCGCCACTTCTGGATTTTTTTTTCTTCTGCTTATGTGGTACTGAGGAATCAAACCCAGGGTCAAGCATGCAAGGAAAGCGCTCTACCACTGAGCCACCTTCCCAGCTCCTTCACTTCCTTTTTACTGGTGTTTCTCATGAATACTTGTGTGAATGATTTTGTGGTTGTTGGTGTTTTATCTGGGCTTTGTAGTTGTTTTAAAAGGTTGATCTAAGTCTGTATGTTGTGGACCCTTCCATTGGAAATGAACCTCTTGTACTTTTTGCACTATGTATTTTGTGTATTATATAATTTGTATCAGAATTGTTATAATGTCCAGAAAAGCTTTTATGACATTTGCTAGACTAACTCTCCATCCACCATAAAGGGTCCTTGGAGTTTTAACATGCATATTGTTTATTAGTTTTTTTTATAAAATGCACACTAACACTTGATATTTTTCCAAGGTTAAAGTTGTGATGGCCACAACTTAACTCTGAGGTTTAGAACTCTCCGTGGCCTGTTTAGCTATGTATAGAATAAGACCAAATGGACTTAGTGAAAATGAGCCCAGCCTCCTGTGAACAGTGGCTTCCCTTTTCACACCTTCATGCTGAACTTGGCTGGCCTCACATATGTGTACTTGTTAGACATCTTCATTTCCACGAGAACTGCTTTTCTTGTTCTCAGAGCAGCTTTTCCTTAACTGAATCAACACAACTGTAACAGAAACTGCATTCCAGGAACTTGCTGCTATTTATTATCCTTAAAAAGTTCTAGTGAAGCTGGGCGCCAGTGGCTCATCCTGTAATCCTAGCTACTCAGGAGGCTGAGATCTGAGGATCATGGTTCAAAGCCAGCCTGGGTAGGAAAGTGTGTGAGACTCTTATCTCCAATAAACCACCAGAAAACCAGAAGTGGTGCTGTGGCTCAAGTGATAGGTAGAGTGCTTGCCTTGAGCTGAAGAGCTGAGGGACAGTGCCCAGGCCTCTGGAGGTCAAGCCGCATGACCAACGGAAACAAAAAATTCCAGTGAAAAGTCAGTGATTATGGTTTACCTAAAGAGGATTTAGCCCACCTGTTCCACTGAAATGAAACTGCACCCGAGATACTCAGAGAACTGGACACTGTATTATGTCAAACTGACTGTCTCATAGAATGGTTCTACTAACCTGTACTTTTGGGAAATGCCATTGACTGGCAGGTGGCACTGGTGACACATTTTTACATGTACCTGTGTGATATTGAGGTTTTTCATTACACATGAAGAGGGTTTCCTGTATAACCTCTCAGGGATCATGCTCTCATAGTGTTGTAGGAGGATGTGCCTATGGATTTTGAGTCTGGGCTTGTTGTGTTTCCCTTTATTCTTTGGCTGCAGAAAAGCTTAGCATCATGATCTTATGGCATGTGTTTTAACAATATCACTGAAGGTTCCAACTTATTTTCTTCCCCTTAATGTTCTTTTAACTCATTTTTGCCATATTAAATTGCTTATTTTTAAAACCATTATGAGTTTTTGGGATGTAGTGGATCTATGCAAAATCACTTGATTATTATTTTGAATAATGCAAATCAGTGCCTAACCAGATCTTACACATTAGATTATACAATTACATGTTTACGTTTGTTTACATAGTGTAATCAGAAACCAGAAAATTAGATCTTGGCAGCATTCACTGTCTAGAAACAAATGGACAAAAGCAATGGAGACCAACCACCATTAGGATTTCCTAGAAGGCCTGTGGCTTGTTACTTCCTTTGTTTGTAAAGGTTCACTTTCAGAAGTAAAGCATTCCCCCTAAATATTCCCTATGTCTCAGTATTCTGATAAAGGAGCTATTTATCCAGTGTTTCTATGGCATCCACACAGTGTATTACCCATAGCAACAGTCCTTTTCAAATCTTAATAGGGCTAACTCTGTGTTTATTAGGGAAATAATACCTCCAGGTTAAACAAACTATGGCTGTTGGCTCTATGTGTTTGCTCTTTTTCAAAAGGATCTGCCCAACCTTCTGTGTGTTCCTTGTTGTACATCATTCAAAAAGCTGAATCAGGGTATGACTCTAGGATTCTGAATATGTCATTTTAAAGTGTGTTTAGAGTCAAATAAAAAGGATGATGAGCAGATAAAGCTTTAGAAAGCTAAAATACTATTTTGTCTATTGACAATAGAGACAAATTCTCTGAACAGTAGAAATCAGAGCTATATTATGGTAAATATTAGCACTCAAAGTCTGTAAAGGAAAAGTAGAATATATAATATTACCCATGAAAACATGTTTCTGTTTTCCTTGACTCTGAGAATTACTTGGCTGTGCAGTCTACAAGAAAAGCTGTTCATCAAAAAATAAATACGGTCTCAGAATTACAGACATTTTCACAGAACAGGTATATTTTAAAGAACTTGAATTGCTGTTGATATGTAAATTGAACCTAAGATCTTTTCATGTTACCTTTTGAGAAATGAAGTAGAATTTGAAGCCACAAAGTATTAAGAGTTCATCAAATCCAATATTCGTGTTTTATCAGCATGAATGCCTTCAGAACTGCCAGGAAGGCAGGCATATAGTGAGTGTCTCATGTCCAGTCCATGGTCTTGGCACACTGTAGATCTTAGAAGGTGTTCTAATTGGAATACTATTATCTTTTACAAAGGTATATTAACAGTAATTATGTTGATTTGAGATCCAGTAGGATGGAGTACATGTTTTTCCCTGTAAGATACTTTCCCTTTAAGAAGAGTAAAAGGGCTCTTTATTAATTGATTGAGCCTATTATGGTAAAATCTTTAATGTTTCAAATATCTATTGTTTCTTATTATAAATTTGTAGAAATAGTTTTAGCCATTAAGTTTGTCTTATTATTTTTTTTTTATCTTCACAGATTCTGGAATGTTTCAAAGCCTGACCCTCTTCTTGAAACTGTGGAGCATCACACGGAATTTACTTGTGGGTTGGATTTGAGTCTTCAGAGTCCTACTCAGGTAATCGAATCATCATATGTACTGGTACAGCCCACAACTATTCTGCATATAGGATGGATTAGCATTATAGTGCAGATGAGGACATTTAGTAAAACCTGGTCTCCTAAGCTTGAGCATTTGAACATTGAAATAATGAGGAAACTTGCCATATCTCTCTTCCCTCAAAAGATTGATTTCTCTGAGAGGATGAGGTCACTTCTGAAAGGTTCTATGTCTAACATATTGAAGACTTTGGGTCAGTAAATAGAGTGTAAAAGACAGATGGGATGGGATGATGTGTCCTGAGGGGGGCTGTGGCCCTACACTTGGCACAAAGGACTCCCAACAGAACCCATCCCTCTCTGGTCTCCACATGTTTTGTCCAGAGTTTCTGTTTTAATGAATACACTTTTTATTTTCCCTTTGGATCTCTTAATAATTTGAGAATAATTCTTTATAATCTATATATTCTTGTGTTTTTGGCTCAGTGGTAGAGTGCTTGCCTTGCGTGCCTGAGGCCCTGGGTTCCATTCCTCAGCACCACATAAACAAAAAGAAAAAAAGCCAGAAGTGGCACTGTGGCTCAAGTGGTAGAGCGCTAGCCTTGAGCTGAAGAGCTGAGGGACAGCGCCCAGGCCCAGAGTTCAGGCCCCACGACTGGACCCCCCCCCAAAAAAAAAGCAATTTCAGTTTCAGAAGTTATAAATTCATGTCAGAAATACTGTAATATATTGAGCAGTAAGATACTTTGTAACACAAATGGTGTAATAAAACCAACATATTCCTCGAAATACAAAATAATACATGGATATTCTAGAGTGTGATTAAGGTAATAAGCTTATATGGTTTATTTTGGAAATTAAGCAAAAAGTAACTTCCATTTTACATTACAATATACTTAAACACACAGGTTTTCTTTCATTTTCAGGATTTATGACAAATTTAAATATAATAAGTTTAAAATAGTTTCACTAGACATTAGAACAATCTCATTAACATTAAAATAATTGAAAATGACTTCATAGCATATACAAAGAAGAAAGTGAAATGGAATCATCTTCCATATAAATATAATGTACTTTGAATGAACTAGCTCCTTTTTCTGAGAAAAACATCTATTATTGATGTTTTAATTAGATGAGTGAACCTGTTTTCTACCCTAGTTTTAAAAAAGCTGTAATGTACTCTTTGAAACATGACAGTACCAAACAAAAGATCCTATGGAAATAAACATTAAGTATTCATTACCTGTGCACTGTAAGACCCAGACTGGAATGAGGTGGCACCTGCAACTCCTCCATGCCTATTATGGGGGCTCCTCACTGAGCTGGTTTCTAGACCCTCCATAGACACACCTTATTAAAAGGAACCTTGTGAGCAGAGGGTTTATTAATCAATGATACTCATCCTTCAGTAGAGATTATATTGCAAGGCAATATATTTTGTCTGTAGCCTGGTGATTGCCATCTGTCTTTTCCCGTTGGATAACAGATTCTGTGTGCACTACAGTAGTGGTGATTGTTGAGTGTAGCTAGGAAATGGAATCGGGGTCTTGGAGATATACATAAGCAGGCGGCTCTACAGCATAATGCACATTCAAATGGGCCAAAAATCTCTGAGCTCATTCAGAATGAATATAATTTTGAAGTTGTGAGATCCTAGAAATAATTTATACATTTATTCTTTCAATAAATGTTTTCATAGTCCAGACCTTGTAGATACTGGGAATTTCCGTTGGGATAAAAATATATATGGCCTTGCTTTCATGAAGCATTTAGTCCAGTGTTAAATCAGATCATCTCACAAATGGATATGAATGGGTGATAGTGACAAGTCTGAGAAGGAGAAGTGCATTGTAACTTACGAGCTCATAATCAGGGTAGGTATTTCACCTGTGTAAGAAATCCTCAGGATGTGTGGCTCACTGGACATCTGTGTGGCTCACTGGACATCTGTGTATGAGGCGGTGTGAATGATAGGAAGAGAGCGATGACCATCAGGCAAAGGAAATGGTATGTGCAGAGCCTGTGCTGGCGGAGCAGAGCTAGTATATGCAAATGCAAACATGTCTACCTTCCTGACGTATTATGGTATTCCACAGTAGAATTTTTTAAATATACATTGATTTACTTGTCATTAGAAAAAATTGAATGTTGATGTTACTGGCTGAATTTGATATTTCTCTGTACAGAGCTGCTTAGGCTATCAGAACAAAACAGCACAGAACGTCTGGCTTAAACAACAACATCTTATTTCACAGTTCTGGAAGCTGGACATTCCAGATGATCAAGGTCTAGAAGGGTCACTTCCTGGTGAAGGCTCTTCCTGCCTTCTAGATAACTACCTTGTCATTATGTCTTTATCCAGAGAGAAAGCAAGAGGGAACAGCATATGGCAGGTCATGGGAGAAAAAAATGGTTTGGTATGATTAGGGAACAGCAAGAAGGCCTTTGTGGCTGAACTCTAGAATGATAGAGGGAGGGTGAGAGGAAATAGATAGGGGCCAAATTATGTGGGGCTTTGTAAACCATACTGTGTTTTGAGTCTAGCAGTAATTGTATTATAAACCTATTGGAGGCTTAGAATCACAAAAATGATGGAATATGATTTGTGTTTAAGAGTTCCTTCCGGTAGTTATGGGATAATAGCCTTTAGATAGTGGTGAAGGCTCGGAGGTTAGTTTGGAGTCTCTTAAAGTAATCCAGGCAAGAGACAATGGTGAATTTGAGTCCTGGGGATGAAGAGATGGAAAGATTCAGGATATGTTAGGTTGCACTATATTAAACTGTTGGAACTTTCATATAATTCAACCTAACATTTCAAAGATAGCAGAGAAATACCTGATGGATTGGAAATGCGCTAAGAAAGAAGCAGCAGATGATGTTTTACTCCTGGGTTTTGGAGACAAGTTGGGCACTGGTTTGATTTAGTGAGGAGGAAGTTGGGACAGGAACAATTGAACTGTGTTTGAGTTATCTCCTGTTAGACATTCAAGCAGATTGTCTAAGTAGATATGGCTTGTTCATCTCAAGGGAGAGTTTGTATGCAAAACTAAAAATGTGTGGCAATAATGGAACAAGGGAAGTGAGGGATTGGCAGTATATCGAGATAAAATTCTCACTGGTACATTTAAAATGAGATAATATTATTTGAGGGTAGATTGTGATAAATTCAGCATGTACATTATAAGTCCTGTGATAACCTTTACGAAGTTTTAGTAAAAGACACATAACTATTAAGGCAGACATGGTAATAAAATGGAATGACAAAAATAATATCTTCAGCATAATAAACACCATACATAAAAATCCCTCAGCCAAATCATGTTAAGTGAGGTAAGCCAAGCTCAGAGAGACAGTCAGCGCATATTTTCTCTCCTTTGTGGAAGCTAGATCTAACTACAGCCAGACATGATAAATTATAGAGGACTCTAGGCATTCACAGTGAGACCGAAGGAGGATATTCTAAGGGGAAACACAAAATCACAGCGCCTCTGTGCCTCTGATTATATAAAATATTTGTCAAAATGAACTGCAAGAAATGGAATGAAGAGGGTTTTTCTTGGTCGTTTTGTTTTCCTTTCTTTCATCTTGTTGGTTCATCTGTCTTTGTGAAAGGTAAAGGGAGCACAGAAATGGAAGGACAAAGGGTGAACAGTTTCGGCAGTGCTCCTCACCAGACACTAGCTTGAAACTAGACTATACAACTTGTGGGAGGGGATGGGAGGGGAAAACTGGGAGAGAACAAAGGCAAGGGTGACACTGTCCAAAAAGAAAGATATCTCATGATCTGATGTGCAGAACTGTAACCCTTCCGTACATCACCTTTATAATGACAGTAAGAATATCCCACAGCCATCCTTGACATCACAGTCAATAAACAGACAAAACGGCTCTTCTCTAAGTCAGGAACAAGACAAGGATGCCTGCTTCCACCATTGTATTCAATAGAGTATCAGTACTAGCCAGATGAATTATCCAAGAAAAAGAAATCAAAATAATTTAAATTAGAAAGAAAAAAAGTAAGATGATCTATGAGGCAAACCTTTAAAGCTAACCATATTGCCCAGCTGTAATTCAGGTCCTCAGGAGGGCAGACTTCAGAAGGATGGCAGTTTGAAGACAGCCTGAGCAAAAAGTTAGCAAGACCCTTCTCAACCACGTGTAGTGGCTGCCTTGTCATCCTGGCTTCATGGAAGATTGTGGTCCAAGTTAGCCTGGGCAAAAATGTGAGACCCTACCCGAAAAGTAATTAAAGCAATAAGGAACATGGCTCAAGTGGTAGAGCACCTGCATACCAGGCACAAGGCCCTGAGTTGGAACCTTGGTGCCAGGGGAGAAAAATTGTAACAAGTCTAAATACCCTTATTAAAAGACAGATAAAAAGCTAGATACATAAGGAACTTTGAGAGGCCTTTTATGTTCAGACTCTGTGACTTAATGGGTTTTGAATTTGTTCCTTCGTTTCAAGACAGGGTTTTCTTATGCAATCCAGGATAACCTTGAACTCATAGTTTTCCTGCTTGAGCCTTCCGGAGGCTGAGATTACATGTATGCCTCCACACCTGTCTGGATTTTGGATAAAAGAAGAGGTGGTCTAAGTCCAGTTATTACCTAGTATCAGTTTCCTATTATTATATGACTATGCCATGGCTTAGTGCCTGCCTTCGCCAGACCATATGTTTTATTTGCTCACAATTCTCTTCAGTCAGAAATTTGGGCCTGGCAGTTCTTCTATTGGTCTCACCTGGACAACTCCTCCCCTCACATGGTTCCTATTATTTGGTGGCTTACCCTGGGTGTAGTGATCTCAGTGGCCCTCATTCATACCTCGGCCTTCTAAACAATGAGTCTCTTGTGTGAGTCTGGGCCTCACTTGACCATTCTGCACATGTAAGCAAGCCAGGGCAAAGGCATCTCGCGGCTAGATCTGGAAGCCACATACTGTTCTTGATGTGGCAAAGCCAGTTAGGAGGCCAAGCTGGATCCAGAGACCCGGGCATGGATGCCTGCTCTTGAGTA